CCGCTGAACTTTTGTGCCTGCTCCAGCTCAAGGTCTCATTAGACCTCAGTGCTGTAATCACATCTCGGTACCCCTTCCCTCCTGGCCAATGTCAAAATGGAGCCTGGGGCCATTTGCTCTGTGAATAGCTAAGAGGAGAGAGGGGGCGGAGGTGCGACTGCAGTGCTGAGGCCCATGAGCCCTGCAGCGCTACAGCCATAGCAGGCACAGAAGTTCAATAGGAGCTGTTTTTTTTTTACCTGCAGGTGTACTTTCACATTTGCAGGGAGAAGGAGGCAGATCTTATGGCAGTCAAGTTTACAACAAAGGGCCTCTACAACTTACTGAACTGCAGTAAGCATATTGTGCCCGGATTTGTGCTTTAAGTCAAACTGCCTTCTGGAATTTGTGAAATTCCCTGTCATTTTACCTGATTTGGAGTTCTAATACCTGAATGCTAGCCAGCTACAGCAATATACTGAAGGAGAGGGTGAGTCAAAGCAGGGCTTACATGTCACTTTCATATGACATGCAAGCTGCTGCTGAAAATATACATCCCAAGAACACTCTGGATGGATGAGCTGCAAAGGGATGCTGATACACTATTACTATTACTACGGTAGTTTTAAAGGTGACAATACTGCACTGATTTCACCACAAAAGAATAGAGTTGTCACCCTGATGAAGGAATTTAAAAAAGGGGTTATACTTCAAGATAAGTATTATAAACAGTGCATATTTAATGGTATGTGAAGCCTGATTAACACAAATATTGTTAACCCAAATTTCTGTTTTAAGATAGCCAGTCCAGGCCTGGAAGAGATACCTTCACTTAGACTTAAATGTCATATGAAGATATTAAACTGATTTTAAAAATATAAAAATGTTTGTGTCTGCCTGCCACCCATTTTAACAAGCAGCATATATTCAGTTTTATGTGACATGCATGTCTGAATCCCACTGAAGCTGCAGAAAAGAATTTGTAAGATCTATGTACTGTGATATTGGGGAGCTCACAGAGCACTCGCACAGCGAGTTTTTCAAAACACAAGTTTTTTTTATTTGCTCTTGCAGGGCCGCAGAAAATGAACACAAAATATGCGCTTATCTCCAGCGCAGATAACAAAACAAAGACCACAGTGTGGTCCAGACTAACTGCACTTGGTCTCTTAGGGCAGTGGTCCCCAACCCATAAAATTATCAAACGTTGACCGGTCCACGGCGATAAAAAGGTTGGGGAGCACTGTCTTAGGGGATTTAACTAGGATTTTTAAAATATGGTGATAATTATTCTTTAAGGACACTTGCACATAGTGCAATGGAGTAAATCGGTGAATGAATGAGACAGAGGGTGTTATCACATAACAAAGTTTGGAATTTAAACTAATTACCAAATGTTTCCTCAGCTCTTTATACAGAGAATGTCAGTAAGTCTAAACTCTTGCTTAGGGATGCACAGATACTTTTTGAGTACCAATGCCGATACTTGGCATTTTCATGAGAACTACCAGGGTTGCAGCGGTTGCAGCTGAGACCTAGCTCTGGCACTCCACCAATGTCCTGAAATCATTAGTCTGTATTGTTTTAGAAAAACTGTCACATGATAATAAACAAAAATGTATCAGTACTCGTACTTGTAAGTACTCGGCAAGTACCAGTACTCGTACTCGCAAAACTGGTATCTGTGCATCCCTTTATTTATATTTATAAAAACTAAATCGTACATTAAAACAGAGATGTACTAATCCCGGAGCTCCGTGTTCTCCTTACAAATGACAGCTGCCTCCTAATTTTTGAATTTTTCTCTAGTGTAGTCTTGGAGCTCAAAAGTATCGGTACATGTACTCGTACTTGTACCGAATACTGTACTTGGTATCTGTGCAACCCTACTCTTGCTTCTATTACACAAATTTCTCAATTTCTTTCTCTTTTCTTACTCATTTTTCCTTTCTCAGTCTCTCTCTAACCACTTTTCCCTCGAGTCCTTGACCTACATTGTTATAGTTACTGTTGGATAATCCTTTTTCCTTATTCTGTTTCTACTGGTTTAGTAACTGTTCGATTCCACAAGTGAGTGCATTTTAGTTCTCTTTTTGAACTGTTGCAGTGCATCTCAATGCTGCCTATAGAGGATCAATCTTATATAGCAAGGCAAGTTTCATATTCCCCTTTCACCATAATGAATGAAAATGCTCCTGTTTATATTTTGTTAATTGTATAGTATCAGTTTGTATAATAATATATATGTATCTGGGCTACTTTTAACAAAGACACATCCTTAAAGTTAACCTGTCATTTATCTATTACAGGTATTTATATAGCGCTGCCAATTTATGCAGTGTTTTTCATACTGCAAATTCACATCATTCCCTGCTTTCAATCAAAGGTCCCTATACAGAGTCAATATAGACAGGAGCCAATCAACCTTGCAGCATGTCTTTGGAGTGTGGGAGGAAACCCATGCAGGTACAGGAAGAACAGGCAGACTCGTTGCAGATAGTGTCTTGACCAGGATTTGAACCAGGAGCCCACAGTACTGCAAGGCAGAAGTGCTAATCATGAAACCACTGTGCTGCTCATCATAGAAATATGGAAACTACAACTGCGGACCTGGTTTTTAAAGCTGCTGTATAGGCTTCAAGGCTCTAAAAAGCCTGACCTTCTTTGCCAAGCAATGTAATGATATTGTTCCTTCAGATTTTCTATTTTTTAGTAAATGTCTTGTCTGCCGATAAAAATGTCAACCCAGTGCTCTATGCACCCAAATGTTTCCCTCTTACACCAAGATTAAGAACATGCATTTAGCTCTGTAAGCTTCCACTGTTTTTCCCGTGTTGTAAAATACATGGGCATTATCCCAAAAAATAAAATTTTGCTGGATTTAACCTTAAACTTTCAGCGTACTTCTCTTCATTAACTTCTTAGGATTCTCCGTTATTCAGGTAATCTGTCATTGCAGGGTCATGCCTACCCCCTCCCAATGATCTGAACCCTAGCACCAGGTAGGCAGCCTAACTCCAACTTTGGCATTTGTTTAAAGTTTAAGATAGAGTGGGAAAGAGTTAGTATCTCTGTCAGGTTTCTATTTCTGTCTGTGGCACCATTGGGATGATTTTTCATTACTTCCTGACCACTGATTTTTATGAAATAAGTGTGAAAGAAATGGGAGTGTGGTTGTCACAAGTACAGGAAGACAAAAACAACAATAAAGATAATAAAACATTGTGATAAATTCAAACTACTCGCAAATCCACTAAGATGTGTTTTTGTTTTTCTTTGTGTCCAAGTTGGTAAAATGGTGTCCTTACAGGAAGTGGAGGGAATTCTCCGAAATATGAACACAAAGGGCAATAAAACTCCTTCACTCATGTACACGAATCAAATATAAAAATTTGGAATTCAGCTTTAAAGTGAGCCTGCTAACAATGAATCCTTTCTGTTATATAGGAAAAAACTGCGCTAGGAATCAAATAACACTCTAAGAGCAGCTGTGCTTAATAGATGAGTACACCCAAAATAGGAAAAAAGAAAATAGCACTGCACTTCAAACTCAAAATATTCCTAAAATGTGAGAAAAATAGTATGAAATGTGAAATTATTTTACAGGATTTATATAGCGCCAACAGTTTCCACCGTGCTCCGTCGCCTCAGAGGAAGTCAATAGTGACGAAATGCATTAGGTGGGCGGATTTATGCGAGCATTACAATCATAAAGACAGGAGCTCCAGTGGACACAATCCATGTGCAATTGCCTTTTTTTAATTGTAAGTGCATTTTAATCGTTTTAAATACATTTATTCTGACATACTACACTATGGGAAGCTTTTTTTTCTCTCTCTGAGCACAAGAGAAGGTGGAAGATGGAGGAATAGTGTTACACAATTTTGGAAAGATAAGCCAGAGTTGGGAGGAATCTACCCCAATTTATTGTTGGATTAAAAACAAAGGAGAGGATTTGGTTCTATATATATATATCAACAAAGCCTAATTGTTCATCTGAAATATGGTGAGCAATAGGAGTCGGTGAGTGCGGCCAGATCTTATTTTTGAGCACGGTGGAGACTGGAGAGCACTGATTCACTAATTGTTTATGCATTCACGGACGTGATGATATATCATCACATATTAACACAGGATTTTCTATATGTACACATTTTATGAGATGTACTAGCACATTTTTTTTCTAGGTTTATTATGGTTTATAGTGTCTAGACCATTAGACCAAGAGTTTTTTCTTACTATCATCAGCACAGGCATTGTGCAACACAGTTGTTGTGTATGACAAAACATTGTTTATCACTTTGTGACAATTTCACATTGCATACTTTCATACATATTTTTCTCACATTTTAGGAATATGTTGATTTTGAAGCGCAGTGCTATTTTCTTTTTTCCAATGAATCCTTTCTGTTCTACTGATGAATGCAGTTGCAGTTACCACCAACTCTCCAGGGTTTCCTGCATTACAATCCCGAATAGATAGGCTGCTCTCCCACCTGTTAGAAGGAGCATTTACATCTAGAGCTGAGACAACTTTGCTACTCCCACTAGTTCTAAAATATAGCTTCAGAGTTTATCTCACAGCCATAGTCAAACGGTGACTCACTTAGTTGTTGTCTCAGATTTGAATGTTAGCCACAGTTTCCCAGATAGCAAGGATAACTTGCCACAAACTTGTGTCGAGGTTAAATTGTAATTCTTGTTAACTTGCTGCACATATTCCTGGCAAGTTGTAGACTTGCAGAACGCTTGTAGCACAAGTTCTAGTTGACACTTTTTAAATTTGTAGCAAATTTTCTTGGCAAGTCTACAGCAAGAGTCCTGCAGGTCTTAGCAAGAGCTCTGCAAACTCGCTGGTCTGGAGACTTGCAATGCAGACTTGTTGTAATTTTTCAACAAAATTGTGACGCTTGGCACGTCAGCAATAATTTAGCAAGACATTTTCAAACTTGCAGCCCAATTGCTTGCTATCTGGGTTAGACAAGGCTAGAAACTCTATATACAGAATATAAAACACTCACCTGACAGAATCACTATCAGAACTGGTTTCTTCAAAACCCAGGTCTAAAAGGGTACCCATATCAACATTCAGCATAGGGTTGGCACTAGAGTTAAATAATAAAATTCACTTAGTGATAATGAAAAATGAACATATTACATACATTCTGTACAGAACAGCAAATATTAGTCAATGACAAAAATACATACATAGCAGTTTGTCATTTTAATGTAGACAGGCTACACATGTAATATCATATGAATTCCTTTAGTCTACTACAGACTCTTACCCGTCTGAGTTGAATTTGTTGGTACCGGGTATGGCCTCTACTCCTTGCACAGCTTCTCCAGGTAAAGATTTTGCAACTTTTGAAGCTTTGACAGCTCGTAATTTCCTCTTATGACTTTAAAACAAAAAAAATGGGTGTTAAATCCCTAAACAAATTGTAACCGTTACCAGATTATACGTAAATATTATGCCCCTCCTGATTTTGACTGTTTTCACAAAACAGACATTGAGGAAACAGCATTAGGTTTTTGATCTGGTTCATCACAGGTCCTTATCACCCTCTCCTCCTTCTGACAGGGAGAACATTTTAAATGCTGCAGAGAGCAGCAGAACATAATGAAATGGTGCCACTCTCTGCAGTATTCTCTTGTAAGTCTTGGTCTGGGTGGAGCCATGATGCCCTAAGTCCACAGGGAGTGGCTTGAATGACGCTTGTCATTATTCAATGTGGAAGAGGAGGAGCAACATATACCCGAATGGGTGAGCCTTTGGGAGACAGCCCTGGAAATTGGGTGAGTACAGTAGCTGGAGCTGCTAAAATACTAACATTCTTACATTAGTCCAATAATCACTGGGTCTCTTCAAATGTTTATTCATAATCTACAAGGTTCAACTTGTAAAGCCTAAGTACCTTTTTCTCATACAGACCAAAGAGATGATCATGATGATGATAAGAACGATTACAACACATCCAAGTCCTGCAATGATTCCATAAAGTATTTTGTTTCCTGTTTCCAGTGGAGGCTGCACTGTTCCCTATTTGATGAAGATGAAATATAAGTGTTACAAAATATGCAAGTTCTATATATGGCTAATGAAATGTATACTCATATTTGGACGTCAGGGCTTCTATCTGCTAGTGGTAATCCCGTACAGGTTTAATATAATTACAGAATGTCATTGTTCAATATAGGAAGAGATTCTTACGGTGAGTAGGAACATTTTTAGGACTTTGTACAGTGTTGTTGCTGGGTTTTGCATTCTAAACCTGCAACGCTCAAAAGCACGTAAACACAAATCATAGCAAAAGGCTGCACTAGCTCTGCTTTGTCTTCAAAGCAAAGTATCTTAAAAGAACATGCTGCATCCAAAGAAAAGCAACACAAAGCAGGTCAAGCACAGCTCACAACAGTCATTTACACTGCACCATTGATGTAAATGGGAATCAGTTGACCTTTGCTTGACAACATTACGCCGGTTTACATGAGCCCTGATTGCTCCAAAAAATCCTGAACATTCAGCGCTAAATTTGCTATGTTATGAATTTAGTGTCTGAGTATGTACTGAGGTTTTTCTCAACAGAACCCACTTTAGTACAAGGTTTCTCCTCTGTGTATTGGTGCACATGGCAGTTGAATGGCCAAAATGTGAGGTAAATAGATTGTGTAATGTGACATTCAGATGGTGTCTCCTGAGGCCAGATCCTAGCTTTGCTGATTTTTAAATAAAGGTATATGACTGACTACTGCACTATTTGTTACATGGGTTTATGTTATGATAGCTACTTACAATGAGAGTGAGGCCAAGTCCCAGCAGGTTACGCAGAACTTCTTCATTACCTTGTATAATTCTGGGGAAAAAAAAGTAAATTCTAAGTCTGTGCTACATAGTGCATATTATTGTACTAGGAACACAAACATTTTCTAGGACTGAATTAAAGTGACCCTGTTGCTATGATAAAAGTTCAGCACCCTGTACAAGAATAAGTGGAATACTTACCTCTCCAGCAGGCAGCAAGCAACATCTAT